ACTAAAGACCAACACTTTCAAAGGAAAGGATATTATAAAAATATCGCCTCCTTAGTATAGCTATAGCTATAAACCATAGGCCTACGCCTCACCAAAGGGCATAGATCCTCTATAGGATATATAAATGCCTTACTATCGCTTGGTCGTAGACCGATTGGTAAGTAATAGTCTTAGAACCTATATATACCTAGCTTGGAGGTAATAAATCAATAACCCCCTCTCTGTTCTTTACCTTGTATATGTGACTTAGCTTCACCATCCTTATAATAAGGTAGTAGTGTTAGGTAGAAATATATATTAAATAAGTTAGGAATATATAATGTTTTTTATCTTTTCTTTCTTTCTTTATTATTTTGTTAATATCTTAGGAATATTTAGGGTATTTTTAATATTTATAAGCCTTTTAGGAAAGAATAATTATATATTATTATCATAGTGATAGACTTTATAAAGTTGATTATTATAATATTTATTATAATTATTTATTTGCTTTTTTGGTTTTCTATAGTAGAAGTACTTTACTTTATTTATTAAACGTTATTATTAGCTATATTTGTCTTGCTTATATTAGGCTTCTTTATAAAAGGAATTATATATTAGTTAAGATAAATCAATCTATTTAGATAGTATATAGTAGGTAGATATAATAGTATAAGGATATAACGATAGATAATAAACTATCTTATAATAGTTTAAAGTTATATTAATTATTTGTCTACTATCCTTTATATTGATTACTTTAGTTTTTAAAGCTTTAATTTTCTAACGTTAAATTTTTAATATAGCTATTATATTAGCTAATTTAAAGGTTATAATGATTTCTATAGATGGTAGTATTTATATTTATAATTAAGCCTTAGCAAAGTATAGAACTTATAGTTATAGATAATCATTATATTATTTATTCGAAAAGGCTCTTAAAGTGTTAATTATAGTAAGAGGATAACTAGAAAGAGTGATAGCTATATAAGGCTGTAGATATAGTAAGATATACCTTTCTAAAGTAGCTACTATCTTTTTAATATTATCTTTTAGGATTTTCCAAAGTATTTAATAGATCTAATTATATAATATATCTTATATTTTAATAAGAAAGATATTTAGCTTATTTTAAATTTTTAACTGATAGTTAAAAGGAAAAATTATAAAGAATTAATATATATAATGTTTATTTATCTTTAGGATATTATTATTTAAGCTATTTAAATTATTAAGTAAAGGTTTTTAAAGAAAGATGATTAGGTTTATAATATAATTATATATTATTTTTTTATCAAAGGTTTAAAAACATTTATATAGTTCCTCTTTTATATAGATAAGATAATTTTCAGCTTTTTTCCTTATAGCTAATTCGATGATTTATTTTATAATCAACTTTACTTCTTTAGTATAGTATAAGTATATCTATCAAACCTATTAATCTTTAGAAGGTTTATAATATTAAGCTATATTTTTCTAATGATAAAGGAATTTAGTAACATTCTAACTATTAAACTAAAAAGCTTTTATAATATTAAGCTTAAATATTTGATAGAATTTTAAGCTATACTTTCTTTTAGTATCTTAATTAAACCTATCGTTATCTTAGAAACCTATAATAGGATTTAATGTTAATAAAATATATTGTTTAAAGGGTTTGATAGTTAAAAGCCTTTAAATAGTATTAGCACTATTAGTATAGATAATAATATAAAAGACTTAGGATTTAATTTAGATTGATTTTGTTGATATCTTATAAAAGCAATTGATAAAAAGCTTTAATGATTAAGTAAATAAGACTAATTTTTATTTAGTTTATTAAATAAGGCTTATAAGTTTGAAGATATATTGTTAGATTTAGACTATCTTCTTTTCTTTAGTAATAATATATTATATATATATATTTTATTATTTATTGTTAGGAATTAGTTTAATCTTTAGCTTTTCTAATATTCTTAATATTAATTAAAAGTATTATCGACTTTTATCTTACTCTTTCTTTCTTAATTAATAGAATTCTTTTTATCTTTTTGTTAGATAGAATATTTATTAAAAGCTAACGTTAGTACTATCTTTAATAAAATATTCTTTACATCATTTTTTACTTATATTAGTAAGTTTAGACTCTATTAGTTGTTAAGATATATAATAATAGCTATAGCTTATTTATTTATATAATAAAGCTTTATCTACTAAAGTAGTAATAATAATAATTTATTACTTATCTAACAGTATAAAGCTATAATAAAGATTCTACTTAAATACTAGCTAACGTTACTATACTATCTTATCTCTAATTATATAAAAACCTTATTAGTATCCTACCTATAATAGTTTGAAGACAACCTATTCTTATACTAAGTAAGTGTTAAGTCAATAGACAAAAACCATACTCTTAGCTAACCTTATTATCAAGACTATAATATATATTATATACTCTTTCTTTTCTTATTAATACTTTAAGGTAAGATTATTTTATATTTACTTTAAATATAACTTATATATACTTTACTATATTTATATAGTTAGCTAATATTTTCCTTCTTTCTTTTTAACTTATAAATATTATATTAATCTTCTGATTAATAGCTATTATCTTTATACTATCTTTAGAATAACTATATCTTATCGATAATATACTTAGTAAAGGCTCTATTATTTTTATATTTTTTTCTTTCTTATTATAAGTTAAGAATCTTACTTAATAATTATATAATTTATATTTTTTATATTATTAAATTAAGTAAAATATACTAACTATATAGCTTTTATTATAATTATATAATTCTAGTAAATTATATATTTTAATAATTAAAATAAGTATATATTATAATATTAATTATAATTAAATAATTTCTTTTTTCTTTTCTTTAGATAGTTATCTTTAGTATATTAGCTTAATATATACTATCTATAGATAGCTTATTTTTAATATATCTTTATTATATAATTATAAGAATAGTATTTAAAGTATTATTTAACTATTACTTTCTTATAGAAAGGTTTATAAAGATATTAAGCATTATTTTATATTATATTATTATTATAAAGTTAGTCTACTAACGTTTCATCTTCTACTATAATATAGAAAATTAAAAGAACCTTTTATTAAGCTTTTTTAAACAATAATATATAAAGAATATATACTTTATTATCTTATCTAATCTTAAGTTATAGATAGCTTCAAGATAACCTTTATATATTCACTATCTATACTCTATATATAGCTATAGTCTATGTTTAATATATAAGTATAATACCTACTTTATATACTTAGCTGACCCAATCTCTTATTATATCTACTTTTATCTTTTCTTTTTAGTCTTTAAAGGCTAGCTTTTAAGCTTTAGATGATAGTCGTCTTACCGTTATAATAGTGTCGCTTTAAAGAAGCTTTACATTCGCTTTGACTATAATATTGCTACTAAAATAGTAGAATATTATAATAATTTTACTTAATATTTTAATATACTATCTTAACATTATCTTAAGTTTAATAAAGTTTTTAAAGTCTTTAAGATTTAATAAAGTTTTTTAAATTCTATTAAAGGTTAAATTATAGTTATTATAATTATTATTTTTTATTTTATTATAGTTAGCCTTATAATTAAACCTTAAAGTATTAATAGTAAGGATGATAGCTACTATTACTATTTAATTATTATCGATAATTAGTAAAGAATATTATTTATTCTTTAAAAAATAGTAATAAAATAAGTTTATTTACTTTTTACTTAAATATCTTTAGATAATTTTCTAATAAAAATAGTTAATTACTTTATTTTATAATTAGTAATTGTTAGCAGTTAAGATAGTCTTAAGATAATCTTTATTAAAGTTTTTATAATCTTTTCTTTATATAAATTGTTAAGACTTAACTTTAATATTTTCTTTTATATTGATAAATATTATTAGATTATCTAGTATATTTAATTTGTTAGTAAAGCTTCTTTTTTAAAGTTTAAATAAATTAGAATTAATAGTTTTAAAGCTTTAGATAATAGTTTTATTAAAATTTTATAACCTTTTATTTAATATTCTTTTAAGTAAAATTATATATATAAAAATTAAAATTAGAAAATTATATATATAAGCTATTTTGATTTTTTAGGTTTTAGATTATTTTTATTAGTAAAAATAAAGTCTAATTAGTCTTTAAAAAATATTAATTTTTAAAAAATCTTATTATAATTAAGTTGATAAAGTAAAGTAATAATATATATAAGTTATAAAAGTATATTTAACTATCTTTTAACTATCTTTTTGAAAAATATAAATATTTGTTAGAATCAAAGTTTTAATAATTAATTAAGATTTAATTAGTCTTTAGATTATTTTAAAAGTTTAATTTTTTATTATAGTTTATTTTAATAATAGTTATATTTTTAATTTAATAAAAATATATTTTCAAGTTTTCGATTATATTTTAAAGTTGATTTTAAATATTAAATTCTTTTTTTCTAAAGTTTTTTAAATAATTTAACTTTAATTAATAGTTAATTATTATTTTTTTATTTATTTTCTTTTTTAGTTAATTTTTAAAAGATTATAATTTTATATATATAAACATTATATTCAAAATACTTATATAATTACTAAATATAAATTGCTATTTTTTTTAAATATATAAAATTATTATTCTTATCAATTATCAAATCTTAACATTGTTAACTATATCTTTAGAGATTATCGTTTATAAGATATTAATAGATATTTATAATAATACTGCTTATATTATAGTCGTTAATAAAATAAGATAATAGTATCTACTATTAACCAACACTCTCTCAAGATATTATATAATATCCATACAAATGAAGCCTCTAGAGTATAAAGAATATAATAGAATGAAAGAGATAGTCATTCTTATATTCTTATAATGATAGCTAAGTGAGACAAGTAAAAATGAAGTAAGTAATAGCAAATAAGTCACCTGACTGCTGGCAGGGGTAAGACCCTGCTCCCCCAACTCAATATCCTGCCTCTTTTTCAGCGTTTGCTGTCTGCAGCTGAAGCAGTCAATGGAGATCGCCTGCCTGAGCACCTGCACACCGAAATTCGTTACGGATGTGAGGTCATCCTTGAAGGATGTCGAGGTTGGAGAGGAGACTATACCTGATCGCATGCTGTCGCGCATCCGTTACTTCCAAAATGATGCTTTCAAGACTGATGATGGCAAAGACGACCTTGCACGTTTGCCTCAGCGCGTGAAGTACATCACCTTCAAGGCCACCCGGTTGGACCACAACATGGATTGGATGTCAAAGAACAGCCTTTCTGGAACCAAAGAGGCGAAGGAGATTGGCGGGGTTCAGATGAACCAAATTTCGAAGGCCACCAAGTGCGCATCTGCGAAGCTGCTGCTGCACATGGAGGGCTGCACGTGCTCTGGCACGTACCTGCACCTCCCACCTTAGATATCTCTCCATAGCTTCCCCCAGGAGACCTCTTCCTCTTGATATTCATCATCTTCCTCATACCTTTATTTGCATCCGCAAAGACTCCTCTCTCATTCACTCTGTTAGCCCTACCAAGCCCTAAACCTAACAAGCAGGTCGACCATTTCGAGATTTTTGGAGAACTTCTCAAGTACTTCAATGTATATGACTCCGAAAATGGCCCGTACGAAGTCTTCTTCCAAGCCACCGATCTGTCGAGAAACCACAGAGTTCTTCAACAGTCTGCTACGCCGCATATCGACCTCAGGGACTTCCCCAACGTGGGAGCTCCGCCTACTCGCAATCGCTTCGATAGCCGTGATCAGTTCGTTGCTAATCAGGCTGTCGGTAGATCGAATAATCACATCTTGGAACAGATTCGCTACAATAACCCTCAAGGCTGAGGTGTTCGACACTGCCATCATGCCGTGTCCTCATCGAGAATAAATCTCAGGTTATCGTCAGTTTTACCCAAAGGCGAAGCCAACCTGCTCCCACAGGTCTCCATCCTTCAAAGACTCTGCAGACATGAGACAATGTACATGATCTCATTATCTGCAATAGGTGATTGACTGATGATAGAACCTTGGTCTTTACTTCCTGAATGGAAGGAACTGACTGACTGGGACCACGATCCTCCCAAGTTGGTTGACTGACCAGACAATGAAGACTATGCTCCAAGTGTCCTAGCATCGGAGAACTTCCATACTTATCTCGTTCAACAGATCTCTGAGACTGAGATCCATGATCTGAGGAAGACCAACGAAGAATCGACCGACGCATACAATTTGCGAATCACCGCAACGGGTCAATATCCTGACGGACAGCGTAGCACCAGTGATCGCCGTCGTTGCCATGGGGGTTTGGCGCGTTGGATGCGAAGATTTTGGGCAATTCGACCGGAGCTTGCTGGTGTTGAGAAGCGGTCGCGCCAGAATGCTCATTATGGGCTTGAGTCTGTAAGCATAAAGCTTAAACGTCAAGATTATCCTTGTGCTCGGTGAAGTATTCACGGATTCTGGTCCCAAGTCGGCAGCCGGATTGCAAACATGGTCTCTCGAATGAAGTCCATGCACGAAAAGAACATCAAGTTCAGCTCTGTCAAGCAGTTTAACGAAGACACATGGAATGACTATCCCCATCGGATTACAACCGAAGGTCAGACCCAGGTGACAATCTTTCAAAAGGTTAGCTCAGATAAAGCGATCAAAGCTGAGTTTCTCGCAATGAACTCATTGACATTCCCCAACGGCTGTCCGCATGAAACACCACTTTTCGACCAGTCCGGAGTGGCCTATGAATACCCGCTTCGTTTTGACGAACGTGGACTAGACCAGGTGGACATGTTCGAAGCAATCCCTGCATTGAAGACGGTTTGCAACGGTCGCGCACCCCAGTGGCTCAAGGATCAGTACAATTCCATGGACGCTTGCAAGGAGGATGCGTATGACCAACTCTCCCGAATGCCTCCAGGTGTCAAAGTTCATTCCAGGAGTGGCTGCTTGTGGCAAGTCGACGTTCCTGCAGAACAGAGAACATAATCCTGTCTGCCTTCTACGGACTAAATCCTAAGGGATCTACATCGCAGACAGCGATCCCTTCTACACGGGTCGCACTCTATAGTACTCCTCCGCCAGGGTAATAAACGATAGTTCGGCAAGGGTGTCACTACCTCCTCAACAAGGGTTTACTAAAAAGTTGATAGACCGACAGTAATAAACAGGATATTCGAGAACTTGATGAGTATTATAACTCTCGACATCAAGTATCTTCACCCTTCAACAATTAACGTTTATTACCCTGGCGGAGGAGTAATGCGGCAGTTGATACCTTTGCCAAGAGCTTTGAAAGCAGACAAAAGAGACTCGGCCTGGAGCATCCGATTCCGATTATTCGCTTGTACTCTATGACGAGCGAAGTCGACTCGATGATCACTCGACATTCGAAGCAGAGAAGTTCTGTTTTCAATCAAGAGGCTGCAACCGAGGCTGTGGTCGAGGCTGACGATGCAGTGTTGAACTCGTCCGAGAGGATAATTCTTGGCAGAATATATGGTCACGAAGGCTGCGCTCGAGATCCACGATGCCAAAGCTGCAAATCGAAAGAATGCATCAATCTGCCGAAACATGTCGCTTCAGCAAGCCGCGGTTGCTTATTCTCGTGAGCACATAGCTGATTTTACTTACCCGGCGTACCATGGAAGATAGACAAACGAAGACACAGCGGCGCCGGATTGGCAACGGTGTTCGCCGACGATGAATGCACGCGACGTGGTGATAAGCAGACGCCATAAATGTGAAGAGGCTGGAGGTCATGTGCGTTCTCAGAGGCGCGATGCATGCACAAAGACATTCGCGTCCTGCAACGCGCCTAAACCGGTAGTGATCGAATGCCCCCACAGCTACGGCATCCCACTGGACATAGCGCGGGATGGAGTGGCGGTCAGCCACTGAGGGGTGCAGCATGTGGGTGCTGTGCATAATGTACACTGATGTTAGAGCTGCGGGCAGGCGGTGGGCAAGCACAGGCCAGCTTTCCCCTTCCCACAATATTCAGCAGGTAGGCCGTTAGTCTCACCGATCGATCGTTGCTCTCTGTGGCCAAGGCCAAGGTCAACCGGCCGCCTTTTCCCTCATCCTCCACTCAATTTGATCAATACAACACAACGGTCGCCCGCGCTCCTTTGATGTGCGGTGCAAGCCTGAGGAATCTCCTATACGTGCCTCAGCTACCGTCTTAAGAGATCCTATCGCAAACATGACCCGTGTCGTCGTCTACAGCGCCGCCCTGGTGGCATTTATCGCTGGTGAGTGCCTTGCGTGTTATCGCCAAGCTACAGCTTCCTTATCGTGTCGTCATCACCGAACCTGGGGGCAACATCACCTCTTTGAATGCCCTTGCACATGATGAGCGCCCGAGCGGCTTCAAGCAAAACACGAGCTATTGTAGAGAGCCTGGACGACAATTGCTAACGTCATGTCTTCCTATCACAGCCATAGCGATGACGCTCGCCTCAATCCTCATGCCCCACTGGGTATCGTACATTGTAACCGCCGAGGACACTGGATCGACATTCACAAAGACAATCGGCCTGCACAAGAGCTGTAGCTCCGTAGCCGACCCGCCATGTCAGCCCTTTCCGCAGGACGAGATTTGTCGCGGCGACGAGCGCACCTTCTGCTCCATGTGGAGAACAACAGGCTTCCTCATGAGCTTCGCGACGGTCGCGGAGCTGGCAGCTCTCGTGGGATTCATCGTTATCATCGGCGGCGGCAAGATGAAGCGCGAGTTCGGCTGGAAGGTCCTGGGCACCATCCTGTGCGTTGTCGGCGTCATCCAATTCGCTGCTATGGCTATAGTGGTAAGTAGCTCTACTCTATAAATCCTAGTTCAAAGTTGCTAACAGGCTACGTAGGCATGGTTGTTCGATAACGATGAGCAATTTATAGTACCCGGCTGGCATCTCGACAAGTCATGGATTCTTTGCACCGTCAGCGGTGGTATCGCTATCCTATGCGCCCTCGGCCTCGCGATATCGGCCTTTGTTCTCCCACCAGAAGAAGGATACGAGTTCCTGGACGACCCGCTCGATGTATAGATGTATGAATGGTGCACAGATGGGTCTCATGAGGATGATAATTGCATATTGATTTTTGGGATATATAACTATAGAGAAACAAGAAGCGTTATGGAGTTCTGGTTGCATTGCGGACACAGCATTTATCTCTAGCTTTGTCAGGTTCAAGTTTAGCATTTTCCTTTTCTTTTTTCATTGTTCAAGCAGGATTGGAGGTTACTCATTAGCCGGGAGCCGTCGTCAGATATTGACACGGATGGGCAGATCGCGCTGCTGGTCCAAGTGAAGTGTCCCGCACAGAGGTTGACTTATATTCGGAGTTGCCATAACTGAGAAGATGTGACGTATCACTGGGGATACCCATTATTGATCGAGAAATAAGATTACAAGAGGTTACAGCTTTTTATATGACTTGTTCCAGACTGACAATGAACTCATATCTTGCTAACAGCCTCACCGGAACCATTGCCTACAAAGATATGACCTTTTGATGATACTCCTTCTATCCTCACATTTTACGACACCTCGAACACGAGATTGGATTCAAACATGTTTGCTCGCACAAAAGAAATTTGATATAGACTCGTAACAAGTATATCGGGTATATGACCAGCCCCTTTTTCTTCCAAGTTCCGATCCGCCCAACAATCCTTCCACCATGTGCAACAATTCCAGTGCTATCGCCAGTCTTAAATGTTCAAATAAGAGCGCCCAAACGCCTCTTCCGTCTCTGCGGAAGTCCAAAAATCCAATGCATAGAAATGCAACTCATATGGCTTGACTGATTTCCACCTCGCAACATCAAGAATGATCAAGCATAGCTCCGCGCAGCATCAAGCTGCCCTACCCCCCGCGCACTATACGTGCAATGGCTCACCTCCATCCCTAGCCCCTCGTGCACAACGCCCCAGGCCACTGGCCACTGCCACACGTCCGTCTCTCCAGGGATGCGGTGGCACCGCGCGCTCAGCACAGCGCTGCAGCTACCCGACGGGAGCGCGAGCGGATTCCCCACCGCCTGACCGTTGAGCATCACGGCCGGTGGTGCGCGTCGAAAGGCGAGCCCCAGCACGAGAGCGGCTAACATCACGAGTAGCGCCAGCAATGTCAGGAGACCAACACCGCTAAAGCCCAGCGCTACGAGTGTGGAGTTCGAGCCTGGGGAAGTCGTTGAGGCTGGCGAGAGTTTGATGGCTACAACAAAGCAGCTCTGGCTGAGCACGAAGCCCATGGCTGTAAAGAGAGCGACCAGCAGCCAGCTCACTGGTCGCGGTAGTGTAAGGTACAGACTAGTTGTCTGGTGTCCCTCCGGATCGGCACTGACCCGGAGAGGATGCCGCAGCCCAGCAGAATAGAGTGTGCTCTCGTGGCTCAGGAAGAATGTAGTCAGCAGGGCGTTGGTGGCGAGATACAACATCCCAAGTAGCACCTGTGGCAGGCTGGCCACAAGAGCGGCAGCAGATGCAGGGGCCGAGGCAGGGAGCATCGACACAGCATGCGGGCTAGCGTTGCCCAGAGAGCTCAGATGGCCAGTTGGCTCGAGATGAGTGGTGACTGCGAGGGCAGACGCTGCCATGCCAGTAATGCATAGCCACAGAAAGGAAGTGAAAAGCCATCGTGGGAGGGAAGGCGTTCGAACCCACCAATGGTCGCGAGGCACCCAGTATTTAGCCTCGCGCAAGCCCCAGCGGCCTTGCCAGACATCGGTCTTAGTCAAGAGGCACGCGTCGCGAGTTGTTGGATCAATATCTTTCAGGAACGATGTAAGCGCATCACCCAGCGTGACAAGAGGCTCGAACGAGGATGCTTTGAAAAGGAGAACGCCAGCAGTCGCGACCACGGTGACAAGGTTAAGCAGGAGTGTAATCCCAAGTAGTGAACCGTTTAGAGAAACGGTACAATTCTGTGATGACGGGTCTGCTGGTTGTGCTAGGCAAAAGCGCACTGCTGACCCGTCGAGAGTTATTTGTTTGTTGGTTCCGGTTGATGTGGTGTATGGAGAGAGAGAACTGCCTGACTTGGAGGTCGCCACAAGACTGCTCCCTGGCAGGTTGACGGAAGTCACGAGTAGAACATTGCGGAAGTCCCTGTTGAAGGCGCTGCTGAACTCCTCGGAACAGTCATCGACTGTCAAGTTCGTCAGTTCCTTCCGGCTAGCAAGGTCTTGAAGAGCTAGTAGATCGATTCTGCTCAAGCCAGCTTCGTTTGTTGAACTTCCATTGCTGAACGGAGCGCCAGCGAGGAAGGATTCGGTGACTAATACTATATTATAGTCCACGGCGGACTGTGAAGTGAAGATGACCGCATTATATCTGCGATCAATATGTTAGTGAACCGTATCTAGAGTCTTTTCGTACATCAAATACTTACATTATTTGGGTGATGACGGCAGACACCAGTATCATCAGCGACAGAAAGACTCTGCCATTAGAAATATGTGCGAAGTTCCGAACTGATGGAACACCAATGTCCAACCACCTCTTCTTGTCATGCGCAGCCGCAACTTCTGGCCGAGTCGGGCTACTCAGAACCTGGAATACGTAGTTTGCTCCAGCAACTAGCACCACGACACATACGTTGATCAACGCATGCAAACCCCAATTGATATTCTTCGCGGTCGAACAAGATCCGGTATAGATGGCAGACTCGCCAGACAGCAGCTGCATCTTCGCTATAGCCACTATCAGGCAAATGAACCCCGTCACGAGGATAATGAAGCCCAGGAGAACATTCAGAGCCACGCCGCCACGCCATCCGCTTGTTAAGCGTCGCCATCCCCTTCTAGGCTTCTCATTTCCACCCGGAAGTATATGTTGTTCCTCCGTCGCGGAAGATGTTGCCGTCTGCAATCGGCTTGAGTCATCGTCATAAAACCCCTCGAACTCTGCCGTTCTTGACTGGTGCGGCCGATGTTGATGCGCAATGTCGACATCGCGCTCCCCTATCTTGCCCCCATTGCGTTTCCTCCGCGCTACCGTCTCTGGAGTTTCTCCACGGATGTAGTTGACAACATAGTCGGGAATAATAGTCGAGTCGAAATCGCTTGACGACTCACGATCCTTGCCAGGCGGCTGCCACGTCGCTCTCCTGAATGTTTCCACCACTGGGCTCGCGATTTCCGTATCCGTCATTACACTCTGGAACGGCCAGGCGACTGTTTGCCTTCCCCTTCGAACAGCTGGAGGGGCCTCATCCTCCTCCGGTGACTCGTTTATCCTGCGCTGGTCAGACTGAGCTCTTGGTCGATCACGAAGGGGACCGGCAAACCTCTGCATGCTTTTCACCTCGCCATTCTCGTCCCAAGTGTACCTGTATGTTGACGTAGCATGATCTCGAGGTGGGATGACAATTTCCATGCCGCCAGGAAGAAGCCTTGCTTCTGTGAGGAAGACGACATAACACAGCGAAGCTACACGATAGGGTCCAGCGGTCACTTGTAAGAAAGTATGGAGAAGACGAAGATCACGGCATGTGTGAGAGACATCAAAGACCCGTTACAGAGGCCTGCTATGGTGGTGGCAGGGGGGCTGCGGATCAGTTAAGTAATCCTGGGATGCAGTCAGAGGCTTGGGAGTCTAACCAGGACTCAGGAGAAGCCATGCTCGCCCTCTGTCTCTGCCTCGAGCAAAGGGCTCGTTGGATTTGCCCCGCCACCGGCCAGGAGGACCCTACAGTAGTGACGGAACCCTGAGAGCATAAGACGATGGCGGGCACGCGAGGGGTGCGGCCGTTGGCGAGAGAGATAACCCCTGTCTAAGTCGTGGTGCTGAGCCGCCCTAGGTATGATTTGCGAGGGCTGCGTCAGGGCTGACCAGGGTGTCTATATTTAATTAGATGCTATGCGCATGGGTCCAGGCCACCCAATCCAGCGCGGAGCATCGCCTCTGCAAGTTCCAGACATGAGATGGCATGTTTGATGAGAAACGGACTGCTTTGTCAATACGCTTCTAAAGCGCAAACAGCCATGCGATGTGGACACATGACTTTTACAGAGCTCTCCGCCCTCCTACTTTCTCCATTATTCATCGTGATGAGCTGAGATGCGTTGTCAAATCTTTACTGAGGTAGAAAACATCTTCAAAGCCGCCCCCGCAGTGAAGAGCTGTTTCAGACCAAAATAGCGTGCAGACAGGCTGCATCGGAGAGAACATCTCCAGCCGCTCAGTGGACGCGCGAGCTGCATCTCAGGCACCCTTTTTAGAAGTCAGTGTCCAAACGAGCAAGTACCGACTGCACATCGTCTGCAGGCAATACCGCTAGCCCGCCATCTAGCAAATCAACATCAGCGCCGTTCTTTATCGATAAAAGGGTGCAGACGTCAACGATTGACAACAAACAGGCATTTTTAGAAGATCACATCGTGATGATGCGGATACATTCCAAAGCAATACTCGATGATGCCATAGCTACTGCGTTGTGATGAGATTCTTACCTTTCGCCCGAGCCAACAAGCTTGAACGCTCCAATGGGTTAGGCGGTCACCCATGCATAAATTGTTTGGAAGGAAAGTCGAAGGGAGCGTCTGCAGAATTGCAAATACCACGTCGAACTCCCTTACCTCGTCGCCTACTGGGCAAGGGGGATCATTCATGCATCAACGTCCTGAAGATGTCAGAATACCCTCAATTCCCGGGAGCTGCTTGAAGACTAACACAATGTCCCGCATCGTAAACCTGGTGGCCATCGCGGCTCGCCCAGGGTCGACAGGAAGAACCGAGGTGTCCCTGGTTCTTCCAGGTTCCTGCGAGACAAGCGATTCATGCGGTGCGAGCATTTCCTGGTCTGGTTGGCTTTCGCTGTGTTTCAGAATTTTGGAGGAGCGGATTGCTGAGCCACTCAGGGTCCGGCCGCTCAAACCTGTCTGGCGATGGCTGTGTAGGGAAAGAGAGTCTAGACTCAATTGTCGCACATCTAGCAAAAAGTCTCACAGTCCCTATTTGATTCTGCATCGGGATAAAAAGTATTAATTAAGGGGCAAGACTCCCTTTCTCGAAGGTCCAGATCGTTTCCGCCTTTTCCGCCTTGTGCCTTGTGCCCCAGGCTAGCAACGGTCAAAGTGAAGAACCAACGCCCAACCCATCCTTAACAGAACGCACATACCGGTAAGCCCTTCCGGCTTCGCCACTTCAAACAAGCCCCAGAGATTGGTCGACCGTTGGATCTAATGTTTTGTTCAACCGAAAGACAATGCCGCGCCACTTATTATAGTTTTATATGGCCTCAAGTTTCATTACGATGCTTACAGCATGACAACTGTATGCTAGTATCAACGACCTTCAAATTTAGCCCCAGATAACCATCTCGAAGTGACTTGATGATGCAGCCACTAAATTCTAACTAACACGGCTGCCATATGCTTTTTCTGATTTGATGACTACATTATTAGTGTCGTCCTAACACTAATGTAGATATCATGACTTTCCATTATATGATATGATGGGTTATCAAGACTAGTGATGTTATAAAGCAATCGCTCGAGCAAGAACAATCCTCTTGATATGCAAGGTGGCATTGTATATATTTTTTATCATTAAACCTTGCTTCACCACTATTCCCCATCTGAAAGCATACTGCGACAGGCCAGTAATTGGTAGTGAATGGGGGAACCCCAGAGCAAAACCAGTGTTCCTCCCTACTCCCAGATACTTCGGTGGCTCTGAAACACAGCAGGAAACAACCCAATTGGCTCAACAGAGTATCGAATGCTTCACGGTTCACAGCGAGGTCCGCAACCTCGAATGGAGAAACGGGTGTCGTACACAACCCAACAGGTTTGCTCCACTTAACTCCGTGATTCCGTTGAAGGAACAGATATCAGAGCCAGGTAATTGGCGTGCGGGCTGGTAATAGGCTATGGTTCCCACGCCACGTAACGAAGATGTGTAAGCATTGTGCAGATCGTGTAGAATGTTTATTGCACTACACTCCTATTGTCCACAGCCTGTTCTCTTTTCTACTCGAATTGGGTAGAATCAAAACCATTACACACTTGTAGGCTAGATGTTGCTTTACATTGCTGGTATCCGCGCAAGGAATAGTGCATTTATTAATGGAAGGCTCCGAGCCAGCTGCAAGTATAAAGGCGATGCGATGGCTTCTGGATGTTTGACACGTCCCTTTACTCTAAGTATCGTCTGAACAACGCAATCTAACTCTCCTCATCATATATCATTAGTAGTCCAATCTTGGTGTACGTGAAGGTTTTCTACTCTGAATCATGACTCCTCCTCGTCGCGTTCTCATCGCCGTCACCTCAGCTCATGCTACTCTTTTTGAGGGCAAAGAGACCACAGGCCTCTTTATCAGCGAAGCCTTGCACCCCTACAATGCGTTCACCGCAGCTGGCTTTGAAGTCGATCTTGCATCAGAAACCGGTACCTACACGCCTGACTGGCTTTCCCAACAGCCTGATTTCTTGAATGGAGATGATTTCAAGACATGGAATGATACCAACAGCGAATTCCGTAAGAAGCTCGATAGCATGCCAAAAGCATCTGAGCTAGATGGTTCCAAATATGGCGTCTTCTTTGCTTCAGCCGGCCATGCTGCTTTGATTGATTACCCTATAGCAACACACCTACAGAAGATTGCTGAGGAGGTCTGGGCCAGAGGTGGTATTGTTTCTTCTGTTTGTCATGGACCAGCTATCTTTGCAAACGTCCGGGATTTGGCAACAAATGAACCCCTGATCAAAGGCAAGATACTCACCGGCTTCACAAGTGAAGCTGAAGTTACCATGGGAATTATGGAAGAAATCAAATCTTGGAAAAAAGATTTGGTTGAGGAGATAGCCGAGAAGCTAGGAGCTAAATGTGAGTGTCTGATGAAGATATCCGCTGAGATCGAATAACTAATTCACCCCTTTCTTAGATACCCGAGCTCCTGGAGTTTGGGATGATTATCATGTGTTTGATGGCCATCTAATTACAGGACAAAACCCCGCAAGCGCAAGGTCTACGGCAAAAGTCGTCGTAGAAGCTTTGGAGAAGTTGTAACTCTATAGACCTATGTCTGCTGGGGAATTTGTCAACGATCTCTTGACCCCATTCTTTGGCGTGGCCAATCTAGCGGTAGCGTGATTCAGTATTTTATTGTGATCAAATTTGTGACCGATTAATTGGTCTCAGAGTTCAAATTGTTTTGCGACCTTACAGCTTCGAACGATTTCTAACCGACTGTGCACATGCCACCTACCCTTCTCTAATGACATAAACTTCATTCGGGTAATGCTGGGTCGGTCTCACGTAGAACTCGTATCGAATCCGAGGATAGTCTTCCCGTCCAGACGCTATGCCCAAAATAGCCGAAGGATTGCATAGACAGCAACTTGTGCTGACAACGCTAGCTTCCCCAAGAACACGGTGGAGATTCAGGTACTTATAAGCATAGCTCGCAGCCGCTCAGATCTCTTCAAATGGTCATCGCTAAGATAATGTCGCGCAAGAGAGACACTCTAAACCCAGCACGATCATAGGTCTCTCAGCATCGGCTTAGCATTCTGAACAGTGGAGAGTGATGCCTGCCACTATCACGACGGAGGAGCCGTTGTTAGACGGTGTGATTTCTAGTCATGGCAAAGCCAACATTGCGGTCATCCTCGGCGGAATCATTGCATTGTCTTTCTTAATCAACGTCCTTGCTACTCCACGACTCGACCCTCGTGAACCGCCATTATTGAAGCCTTCCATCCCTTTGATTGGACACATCATTGGGATTATCAGTCGCCAGAACGAATACCATTCAGATGCCCAGTAAGCATTACCCGGATCTTTATCATTTTCGAAGCATGGCCATTGTCAATGCGATATCATCTGGTCTTTCTGGGTTTCATCTGACGATAATCAAGAAGAAAGAATAAATATGTTCCAATTGCAACTCTTCAAATGCTTTGGGGCAAGATGTATGCGGTTTGGGAACCCCAGCTTGCACATGCAGCACTGCGTTCTAGGGCAGCCAGTCGCGACCCTTTCGTGGTCGAGTTTGCTCAAAAGTCTTTTGGACTGAGTAAGGAGACATTCGCCAAAGTTACCAGCAATCCAACATTGGTCCCCACCTTCACTGAGGCCCTTCATAGCAGCATGAACAGCGCAAGTGTGAACGCTATGAATGCACATTCTCTTAAGTACATCTCACAAACGCTCGACAATATCAAGGCTGGCGAAGATGGCGGTCTTGAGGTACCGAACTTATACCTCTGGGTGAGAGACATAATGACTCTCGCAACCAGTAGGTCTCTACTCGGCAAAGAGAATCCATTCGAGAAAGACCCGAGCCTGATTGATCGTCTTTGGTCAGTCATCTTAGCCGTGTCTCGTGGCGTATTCTCAGACTAACATATTCTAAAAGGGAGTTCGAGGATGGCTTACCAGATTTGCTCACGAAGCCATTCCCGTCCATTACGGCGCGTAAAGGTTATCTGGCACGAAATCGTGTACAAGACGTTGTTGGGGATTGGTATGTGGCAGAATACGATATCACGGACCCAACCGTCGCTCGAACAACCAGAGATCGCGCCAGGGTGTTTCGTGACAATGGCTTTGACGGTCGAGAAATTGGCCAGTTCGAGTGTATGCTTCCTGTTGCTGGCGTTACTAACACGGCACCAACGATGTTTTGGATGATTTGCTATTTCTTCGCTCGTCCTACTTTAGTCAAGAGGCTACGCTCTGAACTCAGTCCGCTGGTCCATAGGAGACGCGGCGAGCATGGTGAGGAGATTGCTAGTTTAGATGTGAGGAGAGTTGAGGCGGACAGTCCCCTGCTAAAAAGTGCCTATCGCGAAGTAATGCGACTAATTAACCACAACGTCGCCACTAGACGCATTCTACAGGACGCGACCATCAGCGATGGGAAGGGAAGAACGTAAGTCACATATTGTTCAAGCTAAGAATCCAGTGCATGATTTCCAGCACTTTACGTAAATTTAGCCTTCTACGACTAATACAGGACTCATTATTCAGTTACCTCCTCAAAAAAGGAGTTGATATACAAATTTCCTCGGGAGTGCCGCATCGCACGGAAACGATATGGGGCGGCAATGTCTTAGAGTTTGACGCAGAGAGATTTCTCCCTGAATCTCAAAACACGCCCAAGAAAACCGAGAACGCAAAGGCACAGAAAAACGCCTATATTCCCTTCGGTGACGGCATTCACCTTTGTCCAGGACGATACTTTGCTTACGTCGAGCTCATAGCCATGATATCAGCGCTGCTAATGGGTTTGGATCTTATACCTGTTGGCAAAAGATTTGATGAAATCAAGCCACGAAATGCGACATTCTCTAGTGCTGTCGTCAAACCTGCCGGGGATGGAGATGGTTTAGGTGCCAGAATTACAAGAAGAAAAGGATGGGAGAACATGAAGTGGGTATTTGAGAGCTGATTACAATACAATAGTGCCCATGCGTGTAAGTAAAGAGACGATCGCTAGACACCTGGTGTAAAGAACTCTCGAGACTACTTTTCGATGAGTTCTCAAAGTGAAGTGATGTCTGAACAGTATGATTACATTACGTGGAATCATCATCAAAGCAACCATAGCCAGCGCCCTAGCCTATAGAATCTATATGAAATAGTTGTCCCCAATTGTAAAGTACGCACACCGCTTGCTTCATACTTTCGTGTTTCAACAATTGGAACGAATTTATAGGTCAGGAGGTTTATAGGAATGTTGACATTCTTTGATCTTACAAGTCAAACAGATAATACTCGGTGAAAATCTATTGATCACACCAGAACTTCCAACTTGATAGATGTATGCTGACATAGGATTATAACCTTTGTAGAATTCGAATGATCTCAAGTAAGTAGAAGGGGTCGATACAAAGTCCGTCAGGTTCTTGAAGTCTAAATGGTGGCTTGCGGCTAGACCGCCCTTAGAGGCTTGGCAAGGGCGAGTACTACCCGTGGCGGTTTATTGAACCAACCCGAATGAAGCTGTCAGTCAAAGACTATCGGCAAGCCACAATCAGATACCACTCAGCTGCAAGACAGAAAATAAAGCCTCTTGGCGCCCTTTCCCGCTTCTCCCACACCGCAATTCTCGACATGCCATGCACGTTCTCGATCATTAAAGACTGGTAGCTGGCCGAGAAGCAGTATCTCATTATCAACAGGAACGATTATCCAGAAATTTGGAAATATCCAGAATATACAAAGCAACGTTGACGATCTTTTATCTAAACGCGAACGATGCCTACCAGGGAGGAGCCTAAGCGCCAGGCCCCAATGGAGGCCTCCGCCCCGAAAACCTCCCTGACTACCACTCAACCAGTATGATGGCGATTGTATTTGCTGCTGTTCCTCACTGACTGTGTTGCAAGACTCCTGAACCTCGACCACAAGCTGAGAGGGACTTAACTCTGCGCGGTGGTGGGATGAACATTGGGGTAAGCAATACTTACGGTTTATGAACCCGCGTCTCGGCAATCCAATCTTTCTTCATGCCGTCTATGGATGCTACTTCAGTGCTCCCATCAAGTAATGGCTGACTCTTAACGTCATAGTGCACTTGCTGCGATGGCTCGTGCTCGTTTCACCGGTATTGCTGCTAAATGCGGTGATGTCTTTGGCTCGGCCACAGTTTGGACATCTGGTCATCATGACTGATCGAATAGTTGCATTACAAGATTCGATGTCGAGTGCTAGTAGATACTGGATAATAGCTTCAAGCTGTTGAACTATCTTTGTAAATATCTCGCAACAGGACGGGTTGCGATTGGATCTCTCTAATCTAATTATCGGTGGTCAAACTTGGACTTGATATTGTGGAAGGATCACTTGAACATTTCCCCTATGCGTTGATTTCTCGTACCTAATGGTTTCTGAGCAACGACTCTTCGGATGAGTTGAGCCATCAGGCTCCAGAATTCTCCTTGATCCGCCCACATCAAATACCATTCCAACGGGCCTAAATTTTCGGCACGTCAATGACGGAAAACGAGATATTTCGGCAGCAATCTGGTTGTGATAACTAAGATAGTTACGGATAAATGGTGTGTTGAGGTATGTACATGCTCCTTTTAGAATACCCCGGATCTGAGTGAGTATCAATGGGCTGAGGCGATGTAGTTTTGGATGCATGCAATGGATGAGCAATCTTTTACAAGAAACGTGACTTTATCTGTCCGGGGCCTTTGCCAAAATCGTATGCATTTCAGATCGGGCCTGAACTTCCAATTACAGTAAGGGTTCCGATTTCTTTCAGAAATACGCCTTATTGAGGTTGTCGGTTATGCAGGCAGACTCTTTCGGACTGGTTGCCTTGGCTAACCATGCGCTCAGTGTAGGTTGAACATCACTCATTCAATGTTAACCGCGCACAGCCAGAAAGCTCTCGGAAAGCCGTGCAATACCTACGTGGCATACCTACTGATTTGGCTACTTCACCTGTATTTGGTGAAATAAAAATATGACCTGAAAATCCCTGAGTTTTCGAATAATTCGGTAGAGGTCTTCAAGAAGCACACACAATTATGAATGATTTATGGTGCCTCAGACAGATAGAAGAGTATGATGACTCTTATCACACGGATTGGGAAATAGCCAGCCTCGAATCGACAAGCACAACGGAAGCCAAAATCAGTTCTCTGGATCACAGTCAGGTACTCTCTTGGGCACAACGACAGAAGAAGCATCTAGAGAAATCGCAATCAAGTGCAATCTCTTCAGAACAAGGAGGTGTTGCGATACTGTAGGGACACACTAATGTACTAGAGGCGATATCATAACTAACAACACAGACTTTTGAGACATAGACTATACAAAAGCCAAGAAGTCAACCCTCAATTCCTGCCGTTAAAACGTGGCGTTTTCCTGGAAGTCATTAAAAGTCTCGGACTACCAGCAGCGTATATTTACATCAGAGGTTACACAGGGGCATGTGGGAACTACAGCATAAATCATGTCAAAGAGGTGGGGAAGCCCACGAAAATAGGTGAGGTTACACAACTTCCCGAGTCGCTTCGGAAGCTCATTACACTAGGTTTATCTATCAG